CATGTGTATATATGTGTATGTATACATGTGTATGTATACATGTGTATATATACATGTGTATATATACATGTGTATATATACATGTGTATATATACATGTGTATATATACGTGTGTGTGTATATACGTGTGTGTGTATATATACGTGTGTATATATACGTGTGTATGTATATACACGTGTGTATGTATATACATATATATATATATACATACATACATACATACATACAGGGTTGGGTGAAGTGTTTTGCCCAAAATACCAAAAATACCTCATCTGCACTTTTCCTCATAAAAATGAATTTTAATCAATCATATAACTTTTTTTTACTTTAAATACTTTTTTTTGCATGTAATATAGGTAACATAAGCTGTCAGTGGCTCTTTTCTGCTGTAACAACGTATATGTCCCCTCTGTGGGACTAATAAAGGTTTTCTGATTCTGATCTGATTCTGATCTACGATGCTCAACAGCTCGCTTAACGGAACTTTGACGCTGGTACAGTATCAGTTTGGTTTCCCACCAATCACGGGAGTATTGTGTATAGAAAGTGTTGAGTTATATTCATAGACTGTATATATTAAAAAAAAAAGATTTGAAACTGAAAAAATAATTGTTTGGAATCTGAAAACGGAAAATCTGCAACTGAAAAAAAGAAGGATTCAAATATCAAAATATGTATAAAAGGAGTGGAGCTGTCTTTTTATGAAAAGTAATTAAGCTCGCTCCGACTTCTTTCTCTTTTTTTTTATCGAAAAAAGCTAGCTATTCGGTCAGACAGCAATTTATAAAAGTGAAACAAGTGCAATTTCAAGCACGTTAACCAAAATTCAAGCACTTTATCCAAAATCCAAGCACTTTTCAAACCTTGAAAACACCACAAGAAATTTCAAGCATTTTCAAGGATTTCCAGCAGCCGTACGAACCCTGCATCTGTTTAAGAAGAAGGTAAAACAATTTAAAAAAACGAATATATAGAAACACATGCTACTTGCAATGTTGAAAAGCAACCACTAGACACATAGCACTGTATTTGCGGATGTGTGTCTTCAAACATGCCGAGAACTGCTGACATGTTTGTCCCTATATCATGTTACAATGTAGCCGTTACAAAGAAAAGGTTGTTGTCAGAAGTGGGATTCGAACCCACGCCTCCAGAGGAGACTGCGACCTGAACGCAGCGCCTTAGACCGCTCGGCCATCCTGACTGTGAGAACTTTAATTCTCAAACGTTAATAATAATCCTACAGTATGTTGAAGTAGTATACAGATGACCATGCTGATCAATATGACAGTCAGTTGATCTGAGAGAGTAATCAAGCTCGGATTTCAATTGTAAACGGGTAGGATTAGCAGAAGGATTTCATATTTTCATACTTTATAATTAAGTTTACAAATAGAAATTGTCAGTACAACAGTCAGGATGGCCGAGCGGTCTAAGGCGCTGCGTTCAGGTCGCAGTCTCCTCTGGAGGCGTGGGTTCGAATCCCACTTCTGACATCAATCTTTTCCTTCTTTTTGTTTCACCTTATGTACTGTTAAAGCGGCGAAAACGATCCATGAAAAACAAAATCAGCTGTTTCAAACATACGTAACAACCCTTTGTGCATGTTTTACAGATCATATATTATGAAAATCCACTAGGGGGCAGCAAAGACCAGGTGCACGATAGAGAGTATCCTGACTGGCAGCATGACAGCCTGGTACGGCAGCTGCACCGACCTCGATCGTAAGGCTTTACAGAGGGTGGTGAAAACTGCACAGCACATCACCAGGACGGAGCTGCCATCCATGGAGGACCTTTACTCCCAGCGGCTCAGGAAGAAATCACTACGGATTATCAAAGACCCCCATCACCCCAGCCACAAACTGTTCTTTCTGTTGCCGTCTGGCAAGGACAAGAAGATTCAGAGACTGTTTCTTCCCGCGGGCAGTGAGACTGTTAAACAATTGAACTGTTGAAACAACTTCAAAACATTCATCTGCTACTCAGTATTATGTATCTAATACCTAATATATATATATATATCATTCCAATAACTTGTATATAGACTTGTACTGCACTATTCCACATCATCACTTTATTTTATACTATTTTTCTTTTGTATTGCTCTGGCTCTTATTGTTATTATGTTATTATGTTGCATTGTTGGAGAAGCCTGTGACATAAGATTTTCAACTACATAATTACTCTGTAGCTATGTCAGATTGACAATAAAGAACCTTGAACCCTTGAATTTACTGTGGATGCTGCTAATAGTATGTTAGCTCCTATATTTATTCATAAATATTATAATAATAGTAATTATAATACTGTAGGCTTATTATTAACGTTTGGATAAATTATTATCCATTTGGAGTAAGTGCTATCTCACAGTCAGGATGGCCGAGCGGTCTAAGGCGCTGCGTTCAGGTCGCAGTCTCCTCTGGAGGCGTGGGTTCGAATCCCACTTCTGACAACAACCTTTTCCTCCTTTTTGTTCCACCTTACGTACTGTTAAAGCGGCGAAACCGATCCTCGAAAACATACGTAACAACCCTTTGTGTATGTTTTACAGATCATTATGAAAATCCACTATGGGGCAGCAAAGACATGTGCAAGTTAATTTACTGTGAGTACTGCTAATAGCTAGCTAATAGTATGTTAGCTCCTATATGTATTCATAAATACTATAATAATTGTATAATAGTAATTATAATAATGCATGCGTAATAACTTCACGTTTGAATTTAAAAACAAAATTATATGATGCAATTGCCTTGATAAACCGTGGTTAGTGTAGATTCCCAATGAGCTAATTAGCAAAAGTTAGCCGTTCGAGAAAAACGTGGCCGATCGCCGAGGCTTTTGAAGTCCTTGAAACTCTTCCATCCGACTCCGACGAGGAAAAACACAACCGTATTTACCCTGTTCTTGTTCCCACCTTAGTCGTTGAACAATTGTAATTAGTATCTGAGGGAAGCTGGGCGAAAAACCGTCGAAATAGGCAGTTTCTTCCCCGTTTTTCCCCCGTCCACATGCCATGGACATGATCGCTGACCTGACGAGAAGCCCCTCAATTAGTGATGTGTCGGTCGCGAACGAGCCGGCTCAAAGAGCCGGCTCTTTTAAGTGAACGACGGGAGCCGGCTCGCGCCCGCGAACGAGCCGTTTTTTTGTTTTTGTTATTTTTTGTTAAGTAATACAAGACAGAATGATATGATGATCTCCGCGCTACAGCTGCTCCGTGCATGCATGCAGTGACATGTAATATCCAAGGATTAGAGACTGTTGGATGCTGCTGTTTTGAGCATTGCAATACATTTATTTTTATTATGTTTTTTTATGATTAGAGACGGTTGGATGCTGCTGTACTGAGCATTGCAATATATTTACTTTTACTATGTTATTTATTTATGATTATCCTTGGGCTCAGCAAAGATTTGATGTCAGCTGTTGCTGTCTTTTTTTCTATAGTTAATACTGAAATAGAGCCCTGCTGTTTTGTCAGGGCCTTTTCTTTAAATATAATTTTAAAATGTCGATACAGTAGCCCCTTTTTTTAAATGTCTATGCTTAAGTTTTTATAGGTGTTGCTATCTGCTTTGTGTAGCGTGGTTCTACAAGCAAGTCTGTGCATTCATTGGGTGGTATCAGAGAGATACAAGGGTCTGTAAATGCAATGAAAACAATTGGCCACAGCAAATAATTGATATTAAACATGTAATTTTTACTTTTGAATACTTCAGTACAAAGGATGTATTGAATAATGTAAGTGATATGTGTACACATATAAATCATTAGTCAAAACAGGGCTACATTTGATTGAATTATAAAAGGTATAATATGTGGTAAACTGAAGAGCCGTTTGGGAGCCGAAAGAGCCGGCTCTTCTTGGTGAGCCGAGCCAAATGATCCGGCTCACCAAGAAGAGCCGGAATTCCCATCACTACCCTCAATGCAGTGCGCAACATTAGTTTCGACCTGACGGCAGGGAGATAACACGTGATATCAACGGTGTGATTCTATTGGCTCACATGACTTGCTAGCCTTGGCAATGGCGGCGAGCGGAGAATTATTTTTTATATTACTATTTCACAATCATAGTTTTAAGGAATTTTAAAGGATAAGCGAAACTTTTACTCTGCACATTTTACCCTGTTTACTTTTTTTTTATTTGTACAACCAGTCTATGGGTGTACAACAAATAATTCATAGTGGGCATCCATCATGTTACTCAACATTTGGGAATGACATCGACTGAGTAACTCCTAGCTTGTCTCTGGTCTTACTGTACCTAAAAAACAACACCAATGCAATGTTTTTAGTCTGTTGTACCGTTTACCTGTACGTCGATTTTCACAGAGAAGTGGAAGGTGACTATATGTCACCAATTTTGATAGCTAGTGTAGATTCAAAAGTATTAAAGAGTGCTAACCACAATTTCATGAAAACACTCCAACCTAGGTTTGATAGACAGTTTCTAACATGTTTAAGATGTTTGTTATCTGCTGTATGGAGAGAAAAGGACATAAGAGGAATACAACAAAACCTATGACAAAGAAGATGACATGTAAAAACAACCTTCACTGCTGAAGTATATTAGGGGCCTTTCTCATTTCACAAATGTCCCCTCCTCGACTCCTATCCTCGTGTCTTAGTCCCGCCCACAAGAGATGCGAGCGGAGGAGCCGTGGAGGACCCATCAGTGTATCCTCGATTATAGCTCCTCCAGAGAGCCTCCTCGACGCTCGGTCCTCGATGTGCATTTAGAGAAATGAGATGTCCTTCAACATGGCGTGCCGAAAACCATTTCCGGGTCACTACCGGAGGACCGAGGATTCGAGGAGGGGAAATTAGAGAAATAAGAAAGGCCCTAGGACTCAATTAATTGTTTTCTATTGTTATGCTTTGTGTGCACTCTAAACATCAAAATCCACCAGTCACAAAATCACTAACGTTATTACAGTTAATTTTTGGGGACCATGAATGTCTGTAAAAAAAATTCACACAGATCTAGCCACTTGTTTTTTAGATATTCATGATTTCAGCTTTAATAAAAAAAAACAGTTTTAGGGATAATGAAACTAATGGGATAACATATTCTGACCACATTGCACTTTTAATCATGACACAGATTATTTCTGATTGCTAACATGTTAGAAGTATCAATACATCTAGATGAAGCATATATATGTACAGAAGCTTTATTTTCATTGGCATACACCGAATCATACCTCTTTTCTGGCAACCCATCTTCCTTTAGAAGATCATAACTGTGAGCACAAACAGTCTGTGGTCTAAACTGATGTAATAATGTGTTAAAGCATATGAAAACAAAAGCCAACAAACTAGGTGATCCACAGTAATAACTGATAACACATCATGGACAACGAGAGGTCAGCTGATGGCCAGACTGGATGAGGTTATCACAGTTTCTGTTCTGGCTCCAAAGGCACTTCTGCATACCTTTTTAAATGTATACAAATAATAACTCTTATAGTTCCCATATGGATGAGGACGATCTGTGTCTCTCCACACATCCACTTCCTGTTCTCCGTCGCTGAAGTAGGTTAAAATCCCTCCAAAGGTCAGTCAGTTAAATCCACACTACCTCCAGAAATGTACGCAGCCAAAAGTCTGTGCATGCCACGGTTTCTACTCTCCCTAAAGATTCAGGACCTGAATGTTTGCTTTGTTCTTCTTGCCCTTCTCTCCAGGTAATTTGATGCTCGGCTCTGTGATGTCGCTCTCCGATTCCTCCTCACAATCTGAATTCTCCTCATATTCTTCAGAGTCGCTTTCTGAGCCGCTGAGCTCCACCAGCGCCACGTCCTGAGGACAAGAGAGGGAGGTATTAGATGACTCAATCACATCAAACAACAAATACATGTAAAACGGCTAAAAACAGTGTTTGTTAGATGTTTGAAGCAACATTTTAGCTTGTGTTGTTGTAATTGCTCGATGTTGTAGCTATGTAAAGTTGATTAATTATATTATTACAGTTGTGTTATTATTATCACCGCATCGCTGCCATTATTTCGATGTGTAATCCCAATGTGGATTTGCTCTATCCCCCTTTTAATGCACTATTTTATTGTACATTTTAATACATTTGTTGTATGTCTACCCTATTCTTTTATGTTTATGTCTTTTACTGGTAACTGTATTTTATGATATATAATTTTCTGTGACTATTTTAAGAAATGTCTACTGTGAAGCACTTTGGATTGCAATTCTTGTATGAAAGGTGCTATACAAATAAAGATTATTATTATTATTATTATATGGGAATTATATTGCTAGTTTTAATTCACAAGTAATGTAATCAAATGAATGTGTACAGCTGTTCTTATGTACACAGATGGTGTGTAAGTGTATTGCACACTGAAACTGGTAGGGTTATGGTTAAAAAAATAACAATTCTTAAAGGTTGCTTGTCTGTTTTTTGTTTACCACATGACACTCACCATCTCTATGACCTTCTCTGCTTCCTCCACGCTCTCTATGTCAAATGTTCCAGCTGGAGCTTCAGCCATCTGCTTCTTCAGCTTCTCGTTGGCTTCGGCCATCTGAGGCAGGAAGCTCTGCAGCCGATCCAACACTGACACACAACAAAACAAAACATCATCACGCGTTCTGGCTCAAAGGGTGTTGGTTCTTAGTTTTACAGCCACACATATAGTGATGTTTAGTCTTACCGCTGCTCCTCGGGACTCTCTCTGTCTGCAGGGATTTGGCAGCCTTTGGTTTGAGGAGAAGCTTCTCACTGAGACCTGGCAGCACAACAAACAAGCTCACAGTGAGTTAACATAGTCTATCTATAGTGATAAATATCAAATTAAGATCCAACAGTTTACACAAAAGGTTTGAGAAAGGCACAATAAAGTGGCATTCCCTAACATTTATGGATCATGACATTTCATTCATCCCATCACGACTCGACTACTGCAATAGCATCCTCTACGGCAGGGGTTTTCAAAGTGTGGGAAGGTGAGCCTCCCCTCAGAGAACATAAGAACAGCGGCGCCCCCCCTCCCAATTATTATTGCTATTATTATTATTATTGTTGTTGTTGCTATAATGCAGGGGTATTCAATTGCATTTCAAAGAGGTCCAGTAAGAGAAAATGAAGACTGTTTCTCTCCTCTTGTCTCGTCTCTGTGTGTGTGTTTGAATCTATCGTGCTGACTCACTGAGTGCACCGATATGATTGGCTGAGTAGCATCACCTCCTTAAAACATTAAACAATAACTTTTTAAAACATTTTTATCTTTATGTTTTAAACATGTTGTATAAAACTCCCCCACTACTTGGACTATTCCTTGCACCCCTCTAGAATAAGCCCGAATGGTCTCAACTTATAACAAGATCGCAAGGACACTGGTAGCGATCGGACAATTGAGTGTTGTTCAGTGTGTTGTGGAACATGCGTGTGCGTGCATGAAAATATACCACACACCCAATTACAATAGCATGTTCAATTCACTACCATGGAAGTTAATAAAGTTGTTAAAGTTGGAACAGCCTGTGGACAGCCGTTCTTCCTTGCATGTCAGTCGCCGACACCTTCTTACAGAGGACAGGCAAATCTAGCTGCAGCACGACCCGTATATTTTCGCACGGTGTTCTCAACACATATATTTTTTTTTAAATTTACATTTTCAACATCGTGGATAAATCCTTATATGCTCCCGGCAACACACTGAACGTCAACTTTGCCTCCTTATTACACTCACCCCTACTTTAGTGGGAACAATGAGTCTGCGTCTGTTTGATGCACACAGGAATAAACGCAGATCATCCTCTGGCTGCAGCCTTCACCGGCACTTGCTTTTGATCAAAGTCAATGCGGAAAACCTGCACTCACACAGGTAGGTGGAGGTGAAGGGAATGAGCACTTTTACAGCCTTTTTGGCGAGGTGGGGGAACCCACAGTCTCCACAGACAGCCAAAAGTGTGCAAGTGTCACTTTACTCGTCTTTTTCTCGTTGTTCTTTTTCTCAAGCTGCGCCTCCCCTGAAGCTCTCTGGCGCCCCCCAGGGGAGGCGCGCCTCACACTTTGAAAACCGCTGCTCTACGGCATACCTTCCAACCTCCTCAATAAACTCCAACATATCCAGAACTCTGCTGCCCGCCTCCTCACCGACCCACACCCGCTCCCGAGACCACATCACTCCCGTCCTCCAGAACCTCCACTGGCTCCCCGTCCGTCAAAGAATCGACTTCAAAGTCCTCCTCATTACTCACAAAGCCCTCAACAACCAGGCTCCCCCCTACCTCACAGACCTGCTGCACCACCACACCCCTTCCCGCTGCCTCCGCTCATCAGAAGCCAACCTCCTATCCATCCCCACCCGCATCAAGCACCGGACCTGGGGGGACAGAGCCTTCTCCGTCGCTGCCCCCTCCCTCTGGAACTCACTCCCACAACCCATCAGAGACTGCACTGACCTCACCACCTTAAAAAAACTCACAAAAACTCACCTCTTCAATCTGGCTTTTAATGTGTGATTGTTTTTGTATTGCTTGATTTTAAATTTGACTTTAACTATATATATATATATATGTATTTGCTGTTCAATTCTTTTCTTTTCACTATATCTGTAAAGCGTCTTTGAGCACCTGTAAAAGCACTAACAAAATAAATCTATTATTATTATTATTATTATTAAATGGTTGTCCAATCCTAGTAGTGTTTTTGGAGTACTACTGTTGAGTGGTGTAGAAATGTCAAGCACTACTGTAGTCTATAAAATAGTGACATTTCTCTTCAAATGAAAAACCATGTACACTCTTCAGCTGTCTTATTAAAGCGAGCTGACTCATGCATTTGAAGAAACATGTATCATGTAAAAAAAAAAGATGATTATCTAATGTTAAGGACTTCACATAGTCCTAAGTCTATATTCACTTCTAACACATCAATAATACACTGTACTGGCCATTGCTGTGATCAACATATTTAGCTAAACCTACCAATGTCTGACACTTTTGTACGAATCATTTCTAATATTATAGCAACTTTGCTTGGAAACTTTCTTGGATTTCTTTAGTTTTCAGACACATTTCAGAGCTGGTTAACACATATTCAAATTACAAAACTCTTACTGAAGATAACGTAAAACTCTTAATAGAGGAGTTTCACCTCACCAATTTATAATAGATTACCTATATGGAAACAGTCTCGTTCCTGTAAGAATATATGGTTAAAAACCTATTTATTGAATAGCTAAATCAACTCTGAGGAAGTGTAGTTTCTAGTGACTCGTTGCTGAACACACAGGCTTCTCTCACTAAAACTCGTTTCAAACATTTTCTACCTAAACAACTAACTGCTAATAAAATAGTTCAAACCTTCTCCGTTCCCACATGACAGCAAATCCTGTGAGGTTGTTTTCTTAATGTTTAATTCCATTTTAAAGGCGACTGTGTTTTCATCGACATGTGGGACCAACATCCGGGTAGGAGGTAAAATGATTGATACAGCGCCCCCTAGTGTTTGGGAGGAATACATGTAATGTTAAAATAGCTCTAAAAATTGAACGCAGCGCTTTTAAAACCAATATAAAAATTAATAAACGACAAATCAAATAATGCATCTAAAAAATTATCTAATAAAGACGGAAGCTAAGGGAGAATGTAATGATCTGATAAAGTCGGTGTACCTTGCGCATGCGCACTGCATACACACTGTGTGGCACTTTTTGTTCTAGCTAGAAAGCTTGAAAGAACAGCAAGAGATCCCACTCCTATTTTTTTCTGTTACGACGAATCCAACCAGGCAGAGTTGACCTACTTCAACGAGAGAGAGTCTTGAATTCTAATTTAAAACAGCCCTAAAATAGGCTAACAAGGCAACCTGTGTTTAAACCTTTACAAAAAACAAAATAATGAATAGGCCTACGTAAAATAGCTGAAATATAAAGAGACATTTAAAGAAGTATATACATGTATTTAGAAATAGACAACAATATATATCCCATATAAACATACATATTCATCTAATGTTGTCTTTATATGTTATTATTAATGTTCTAATGGCATCCAAACTCGTTGTAATATACCAGTCTATGAATCAGCCGGATTACACCCACTCTTTTTCAAGCGGAGTGATACATTGTTATTTTATAGACGAGCTTTGTTGGCACTTTTCGGTCTGACGCTGCTCTGTCTGTCAAGAAACCAGAGTAGACTCCCCATCTCTTCTCCTGGATGAAATGTCTCCGTACCCGAGAGGTAAGTTATCAAAATTAATCCTGGACGACTACAACAATCAGTGTATTATTCTTATATCAACTAAATACCACCAGATAGTGTATTTTCCCGGTTTACGGATACGAAAGTAGGGAGCCGTTTGTGCTACTGTTTTGAATTTCTACACAGCTAGCTAACATAGCATAGTTAGCTAACATAAACACACGTACGATAATATTGTCTCGTTTAGGAAGGTGATCACTAAATATAAGCTCAATGGGGACAAATACAAATACTTAACATAAAGCCGAAGTGTTATACACTGAGATAGACGGGTTAGAGGAAAAGGCCTGAACACTGATGAAGTGCAGATACAAAGGAAATTAAACTATTCTTCACTTTTGCCATCTAACTAATACACTTGTTTTCTCTAGGTTTTGCAATTAGGACTACTTAATTCCCAAACAGTTTTTTAGTGTCCTTATGGGCTGAAGTTGCCAACATATTGTCCAGCACTTGTTGTTATTGATAGCAGTAACAGGAAAGCAAAATAAGGTACAATAATTTAAAGGGGTGAATAATCTGTAGCTACCATAATGATGTTGGCCCTTTTAACTACTCCTACTCGTGTTATTGTAACATTTCCTCAAAGCCGGTTTGTAATTATTTAGAAAAAGACCCCCTCAGGTGACTGATTATGAAGAATGTTGTTCCTCTTTACAGTAGATGACTCAGCTGTTCAATCGCAGTCAGCAGTGTAACATAATTGCCCCAGTGCAAATCATTTTTCTTGGGACTTTGCCCAAGCCACAAGTGTTATCGTGCACACACACACACACACACACACACACACACACACACACACACACACACACACACACACACACACACACACACACACACACACACACACACACACACACAAGCAGAGACACACACAAATACTCCAACTAAGACAATTGCAAATCAGACAGCTGCTTTATCATGGAGACGCTTCCCATGTATTAGCTCACATCCTGTAAATTAGGCTTTGGTCAGCACCACGGACAGCAACCGACGCACACATTTATCAACGCTAATTTTACAGTGTTAGATTACAGTAGCCATGCATTTTATACATTTGACAGATCACAATTGCATTAGATATGCTTTAATCCCTGATCCAACTTCATCTTGAAAATAAACCACACACATCAGAAATTCGGGTCTTGCCAGCAAAGTTGTTAATAACTCTGCTTAAGAAGACTTTTAAACAGTCAATGCATGACCGTCCTCCAATAGTAAAACAGCAAAAGATGAACCTTCTCATCTGGGCCCCTGACAGTTTCTGGGACACTGTGCAGCTGTGAGT